GCTAATAGTTATAATAAATGCTCAATGATACTAACATTAAGAAAACATCAGAAAACATCAAAAGCCACAATGAGAGATATCAACTCAATGTAACTATTATGGCAATTAAAACAAAAAACTAATGATAAAAATTGTTGGTGAGCATGTGGAGAAAAGGAATGTAAATTAGAATGTAAATGGGAATGTAAATTAGAACATCTGTATGCAAAATAGTATGGAAAATCTGCAAAAAAAAAAAAGAAAGAAAATAGAACTGTATTATCTAGCAGTCCCACTACTAAGATACTATCTAAAATAATTGGAATCAAAATTTAAGGAGATAGTGCACTCCCATTTTCACTGTAATACTATTCACAATGAGAACCACCTAAGTGTCCATTTACTGAAGAATGGATGAAGAAAATGTGGTACATGTGCACAGTGGAATGCTATTCAGCCATTGAATAATAGAATCCTGTGAAATGACATGGATGGAAGTAGAGTAATATTTATGCTAAGAGAAATGCCAGACAGAGGAAGACAAGTACCACATGATGTTATTCATGTGGAATATAAAAAAAATTATCCTCATATAAATTCAAATAGAAGTGGTGGTTACCAGTTTCTGGGGAAGAGGTCATAGGATTGGATGGAGAATAGATTATCAATGGACACTGTTATGGTTTAGATATAGTATCACCCAAAACTTCACATGAGATAACGTAAGCAGGTTTGGATGAGAAATGATTGTGTTATAACCTTAAATGAATCAGTGGATTACTCCCTGATGGGGTTAACTGGTGGTAACTGGAGGCAGATAGAATGAGGCTGGAGGAAGTGGTTCATTTCCAGTGGGCCTTGGGCTATATATTTTGTTTCTGGAAAGTGGAATCTCCTTCTGCTATCTGATCATCCTGTGAGTTGCTTCCTTCTGCAACACTGTTCTGCCATGATGTTCAGCTTCAATTTGAGCCCCAAGGAATGTAGCCTGCTCTGGGTGGATTGAGCTTCTGGAATCATGAGCCCCAGATAAATTTTTCCTCCTCTACAATTGTTCTGGTCAAATCTGTTACTCACAGCAGTGCAACAGCTGACTAAACCACTAAGTTACAGTTAGTTAGAAGTAAGAAGTTCTGATCATCTATTGCATATTTGGGTAATTATAGAAAAAATAATGCCCTGATCTTAAAAAAATAAAGAAAGAAAACAACAAAAATAAACAAATAAATAAATAAGAAATAATCATGAATGATTTTACCATAAGGAGATCATAAATGATTGAGGATATAGATATATTTATCCTGATTTACACAATGTATCCATGTGTTCAAACATTGTATTTTACAACATTAATACATATATTTTTTTATGTTTTTATTGATTATTTATTAAATTACATTTAAGAAATAACATTAACAACCTTGATTTCTATGCACGTGCATATGAGATACTGAGAATTGACCCAGGGGTTTCCTACCACTAAGCTACATTCTCAGTCACTTTGATTTTGAAACAGCATCTCCCAAAATTGTAGTGGCTGGCCTCAAACTTGGAATTTTTTTGCCTCTGCCTCCTGATTTACTGGGATTACAGGTGTGTTCTGCACCGGACTTAAAAACTCTGATTTTATTAGTGTAAATAAGGGAGATATTGCCTCTAACACCACCATCACCATTTGACCATTGTTATGGACCTGATCTGGGAGGCAACAGTTGATGTTGATACATTAATACCGGATAGTGATCAAGAACAATGAATATTTTTACCATTTTAAATTGCATCAATGTCAGATTTTTCTAACATGAAGATTTTGCTGATGATGCAGTTCATTTTTAAAAACTATTAAAATATCATTACAGGAAATGCATAAGTGATACAACCATTATAATTATGTGCATGCTATTTTGTTTTGCTTCTTTCATTATATTATAAGCTATCTAATACTCAGTCTTATCTGAAAAGTCACAGGAGTGATATTGATATTTGTCAGCTACAGGAAATTATACAATGAGTTATGCTATCCTAATATAAATCAGTGTGTGAGATTTCATTATATGTGCATGAAGTTGATACATAGATTTATATTGGGTTTATTTTCATTTATAAATAAATGACATTACTGCCAAAATAATTTTTTGAAGATATTTTGTCAAACATGTTCTTGTTCATAGGTTTAAATCTTTTATTATATAATTCTTTTTTTCTTTTGTAAAGGGAATTGAATCATTGAACCACATCCCCAACCCCCCTTTTTTAAAAATTTTATTTTGATACAGAGTCTCACTAAGTAACTTAGGGCCTTGATATATTGTTGACACTGGCCTCCTGCCTCAGCCTTTCAAGCCACTGGGATTGCAGGCATGCACGACTGTGCCTGGCTATATGAATTGATATTTTTGTGACACACAAACACACACACACATACACACACACAAACATATATATTTCTATTTCACTCGTTTCATGTATGTAATGTTTTATATATATGAATCCATATATATATATAAAGTATACATTTAAAGAAAGCAATGTATGTTTTGCTTTTTAATCTGTTGTGTGAATTTTAATGACTTCTAATGTGACAAAATGTTTGCATCATTGCTAATATGTCTTAAACCACTTAAAAGCATAATAGGTTGAGATCATCCTAAGTGAAATATTCACTTCATTAAAACCTATTATATGAGCATTCAAGTAACATATTTATGATATAATATTTGAAGCACTTATTCCTCACAGTAACATTTGTTTTTCTTCATTTTGCAAAGCGAAGCACACTTATTTGTTTGCTTTCCAAAGACGTATGGTAATGAAATTCACACTTAAAAATATGTATGCTTAAAATGGATATAAGGTCATATATTATAGTTTCTTAGACTATATTTCTATGATACAATGCCATCTTCTGATTGATGGAGTGGTAGATTGCTTAATACAGGGATGACTGAAGATATTTTTCTCAAGATACATCCTTCACTTTACTGAAACTCAGAAGAATATATTTCCAGCAATGTCACTGATGTTTTTTGGTTCTCACATCAACTGTCATATATATACCACTTTCAATGTAGGCCATGGAAGAAGTGCAGTTAAAATGTAGAAAATCTGAGATTTATCCAAATTAGGTTAACATATGTGGATATATTCTTGCTTAATTTTATGTCACTGAAAAAACAGAAAAAGTAACAATAGCACAATATTTGTACTAGTAGTAATAAAATTGAAACAACTTAAAAATCTTAGGGATAGGATTATGATAAGGAAATACTTATGCTTAATACATTAAAATTAAGGTGTTTGGGAATTAATGTCTAACACATGGCAAGTAATTAAATTAACTTTCATGTATAGTCACCTAACACATCCGAATATAGACCTAAACTTCTCAAGGGAAGAAAATAAAATGTGAGCAATCCAAGGTTGTTTTCACAGGTTGACACAGAATGTAATCAGACTAAGTTGATATTTCACTGTGGATTCAAAGTGTATTTCTCTGATGGTTCATAAATATTGATTTTTTTTTTATATATTTCTGGTGCTATAACATTATCAAGGGAAAATTTCACACAGTTTGCTGGTCACAACATTTTATCACATCTTTACTGAATATTTTCCTTTAATCCTCATGGAAGTGCATATGTCTATTAATTTCAAATTGAACCAGAATTATGGACCTGAACATTCACTAATGACTATAGTGATGATTCATTTTATGTGTCAAATTGTTTGGGTTAAGGGATGCTCAGAAAGCTGCAAAAATTTTGTTCATGGGTGTTTTTAGAAGGCATTGGCATTTGAATTGGTAGACTGAATAATAAATATCTGACTTAAACAATGGAACTAAGAAAAATCTTCTGCGTTTGTGGTCTGAAAAGAACAATGTTGCAAAGGGAAAGCTAGTTCTTCTTAATTGAACTGAGTCATCCATCTTCTGTTGCCCTTAGAGCTCACAGTTTCTAATACCCAGGGCCACACTTTGTCACTTGTAACATCAACACCCCATTCTGTTCATCCCTAGAGTCAGATGTTCAGACTCAGAATGAGAATTACACCATTGGATTTAAAGGTTTTCAGAATCCATCTGAGTTATATACAACTAGTTTTGATGGCTCTCCAGCTTAAAAATGACAAACTTCAATTCTCAGTCATCATAATTGCATGATATGTATATACAAATATATATAATGCATATGTAATATATTTATGATATTTATATTTCATATAATGATTATATTCTACTGGAGGACTTTGAATGATAAAGATTTTGTTACCAAGAGAGATGATAGAAGAAGAGAATTTTAAGAATGAGTTTTTTAACTTGTCAATGGATTTTCTGAAATTGGTTTTCTAATCTGACTCAATATAAAGATTGCAATTAACTTTTCCAGTATTCAAAAGAGCACTGATAGTTCATGTAATGCTCTGGCAATGTAAATATGCAAATGACTTCTATAAATAATCCTAATCAACCACTTATTTGAAGCAAAAAGTGAAATGATTCTCTAGATAAATTTTGAACATTTTTGGAAAGCTCAGATTCATACTTGTCACTGGCTGGCTGCTTCTAATATTATTAGAAAAAATAATGAAAGAAAAGGACATGGTCAGTTATAGGGCTGTATAAAGGATCCAGTAATGTCTAGGTGTGCTCTGAAGGATAGCCTGATCTCATGTACTAACAGAACTAAAATTGCTGAACATCAAATGCAGAAACTCATCCAGCAATTGGCTGAATAAAAAGGCTCATCAGTTTTTTGACCTTCCTGGGTTTCTCCTGTTAAAGTAAGTGCACCGAGTAGGAAAGAACTGAATCCTGTTAAATGGAATAGATACATGTCAGAAGAAAGTGATAAAGCTATAGATTTTTAGCTTCAAAAAGCTGATGATTATTTTCCCCCCATTGGAAGCAATCACCTGATAACCAGTAGAAGCAGCCTTCCCATCCTCAATGGAACTGGACTCTCCACTCTCATGAAAGGTGGTCTATACAAACCTAGTAATGATCTCCTCCTCATCCACAGATGTATCCTCCTTTACCTATATTTGAAAGGATTCACCCTGCATTGTGAAAAGCAAGAGAATGGCCTTCCCACAGGCAACTATCTTCCAAGACAGACTTTCTTCACTGCCCATCCATCTCCCCCCCGCCACCCCACCCAAAACTGCAAGGAGACCCAAGTCTTTCCTGGTCACAAAATTGAGTTAGAAGATTGTTACAGATTTCTTACCTACCATGCATGATGTCTTGGGTTTGATCCCCAGCATTGTAAAAAAAAATGAATAAATAAATTAATCAAAAATATGACTCATGAGGAGGAGTGCTATGTTCCAAAATAATTACTTGAATTTTCAAGTATATACAAGTAGAAAACTGGAGACCATATTTGGAAATGTATATTAAAGATTTAATATAGTAAGGGAAGGAACACAATGTTGAGCTAGGATGGTTTTATTAAGCAGATAATATGCATCTAGTGTTGCAAAACCAACAGGTATAAAGTGATCAAATAGTTGAGTTGGCACCTTAGATATAGAAGAATGAATGACTTCCCCTTTTATAACTTGAAATGGCTAATCTCAGTTTCTTGTGGAGAAGAAGGATTCAAAGGAATACGGAAATTGGACATTGAGATTGTTTTCATCATTCAAGAAATGTCCATCTACAATGGGAAGTTACTCATGACATACATTTAACCAGTATTTTGAGATATAAAAAATTCATAAGCATTTCCCAACCATCTTTGTCAAGTTCAAAAATCACTGATCTTTTGGTCAGAACATACAGAGAAGCGTTAGGCACTTAATTGGAAAGCTTAAAAACAAGGAGAGTTAAAAGATGCTATGGTGGGAGGGGACCAGTGACCACACTCATTTTTCAAAGACATTGTAAGCATATGGTATTTGTGAATGTCTTCCTCCAAATTGTGTGTGTTCAGACCTTAACTCCCCAATTCATGTTAGTGGTATTTTGAGAGTCTGGGAAGTATGAGATATTTTAGGGTTTCCCATAGAAACAGAACCAATAAGAAATAAAGATTTCTTCAGTTGACTCACATGATCACATGCTGAACAGTCCCACAATGGTTGCCTGCAGTCTGAGAAGCTGAGAAATTTGGTAGCAAATAAATTAAATTAATTCACAAACCTCAAAATGAGAGAGAGAGAGAGAGAGAGAGAGAGAGAGAGAGAGAGAGAGAGAGAGAGAGAGAGACTAATAATGCAGCACCAATCTGAGGCAGAAGACCTGAATTATGTCTGGAGATCCACTGGTATAAGTTTGCACTCAAAGGCTGAAGAATTTGGAGTCTGATATTTCATAATTACTCAAGTGTTGTTAAATTTGTATGAGTTTTCCTTTTATTCTGCCTTTTCATTCCATATGAGCCCCCATACTCTTTGATGGTGACACCTACATTTAGGGCATGTCTTCCTCTCTCAGCTCACCCACATTCCAATGTTATCTAGAAATATCCTCACAGATACTCTCAGAAGTATGCTTTGCCAATATTCTAGGCAAACCTCAATCCAGTTGATACCCCAAATTAGCCATTACATAAGTATAATGTAAGTTCATGAGGGTGGGGTATCCAATGATGATATTAGTGGCTTTGTAGGAAGAAGAAGAGAGACCCGAGCTAGCACACTTTATTTTTCTTGCCAGGTGGTACCATCTGGCATATTATGGTACTTCAAAAAGCCTTTACAAGATGCTAAGTAGATGCTGGCACCATGTTCTTGGAATTTCCAGGCTGCAGAACTATGAGCCAAATGAACTCCTAGTCCTACAAATTACCCACTTTCTGGTACTTAGTAATATCATGGCAAAGAATTAACAGAAATTTGGTATCCAGAAGTGGGGCTATTTCTCTTAAAGTACCTGAAAATGTGGAAGTGTTTATAGAGGTTAGAAGTGAATACTGAAAAACGTTTATATTGCCATAATTGGAGCATTAAGGGAGATTCTGGCAAGTGCTTTGTGAAAGAAGTGAATGGGGAAAATCTGAAACTTCTTAGAGAATATCTAAGTGATCATGACCAGAATGTTGACAAAAATGTGAATGGTGAAGGTCATTTTCATATGGTTTCAAATGGAACCTAGCAATAAGACTTTGGAAAATGTAGTTAAGGCCATCTTTGTTATAAAACAGAAAAGAACTTGACTGCATTGTGCACATGGCTTAGCACATTAAGGACTGCAGATTTAGGGGCAATAAACTAAGGCATTTGGCAAAAGAAATTACTAAGCAGCAAACTATTCAGGCTTTTATGTGGCTACTTTTAACTGTTTAAAATAAAATGAAAAAGCAAAAAGAAGATTTAAACCAGAAAAGTAATTAAAAATAAACAGAGGCATTTGAAAAATTCTAAGCTTGTCTATGTGGTAGAAAATAAAAGATTCTAGGAGAATAAACCAAGGATATAAACTAGAAACTGCTTGCTAGTGAGATTAGTATGAATAAATGCAATCATCAAGATAATGAGAATCTTAAGGGTAGCTTCAAGGCTACCACTTTCAGCACAGTCCCAGTGATCTAGCAGACAACATGATTTTGGAGGATGAGTAAGGACATTCTCCATTGAATCACTGCCCTGGACCACCCTGAGTCTCTTTATCCTGCATTCTGGTGTAGCTATCCAACTGCTAGTCAAGTGACCTTATGTATAAACCAACTCATTGCTCTAGAAGACACAAGCTATCAAACTTGGCAGAGTCCCTATGTTGTTATTTCTGCAAGCCTGAATAATGTAAGATCTTGACTTACTGTTGCTTCCATTATTGAATTTGGAACTATTTTGCTAATTTCTACCTTTTGCAATGTGTGTCAGTTCTATGTCTGTCCTAACATTGAAGTTGTGAAGTAGAGTACTTGTTTTAATTTTATAGCTCATAGCTGGAGTGAATTTACCCCAGGATGATTTATGCCTTATGTGCCTGATTCACAAAATAATCTGAATTTTGGATTTTTTATTTGACACTGAAATTAATTAAGACTTTACAGACATGGAGCTAGAAAACATGTATTTTCCATGTGTTAAAAACGTGAAGTTGGGGCTGTGGTGAAAATGCTGTCGTTTTTATGTCTCCCCCAAATTTCATGAGTTCCATTTAATTCTCAATTTCACATATCAATGATATTTGGAGATGAGGGTTTTGTGAAGTAATTAGGATTAGATGAGGTCATGAGGGTGGGGTTTTATAAGCAGATGGAGGAGGCCCAACCTGGCACATTTATTTTCTCACAGAATCTCCAGAATATAGCATCAGCATGTTCTTGTGCTTTCTGGAATCCAAAACTGGGAGACAAGTAAACTTTCAGTTTTTAAATAAACTTTTGTTATCCAGGTTCTTGTTACAGCAACAGCAACTGGATTAAGAAAATATAATTACTATAATAGATTGCAGAATGAAACTACCAGTCAGAGTAGACTGACTCACACAGTCATATGGTTTGTCATGGTGTTCCTAGAAGAAAAAATGGATGAAGTCTAATACATTCTGGTTTCATTTTTATAAGCAGAAAATTGCCAGGCCAAATGAACAAAAGTCTAACTCTAATCATAAAAAAAAAGAGTTAGTGTCTCTCAATCAGTTCCCAGGCCTGATGCAATTTACAGACAAAGAACCACCTGAATAAAGGGAAAAATGAGTGCCTTCATGAAAGCTCCATAGTAAAATGCCCAAATCTGTACTGTTAATTTTCTACCAGCTCTATTAAAAAGAACTATGCATTAGGGTAAAGGAAATGGTGGGATCATTGGGACACTAATTAGCTCTATTCTTTAAGCAGACATTGACTCCATGAAATCCAAGTCATCACTGTGGTCAACTAATTGAAGATCAAATTTCCAGGGATCAGTAATCACTGGGGTTTAGCTCAAGTTTATATCCAAGTGGGTACCAAGAGATTAGAAACTTATCCTATAGTAATTTTCTCAGTCTCAAAATGCACAAGTGAAAAAAGTTAACAGTTTGCAGAATGCTCATGTTTGTTTCCTGACCTGTAGTGTGAGGGCTAATATGATTGCAAAGTCCAAGTGAATGCCATTTGAACTGCCTCTGCTTCCTGGTTATAGTGGCATACACCTATAATCTCAGAGGCTTGGGATGCTGAGGCAGGAGGATCCTGAGGCAGGAGGATCACAAGTTTGAGACTGGCCTCAGTAATTTAGCCAGGCCATTAAGCAATTAGTGAGAACTTGCCTCAAAATAAATACATAGATAGATAGACAGATAAGTAAATAAATAATTAAACAAACAAATGGGCTTGGGATGTGGCTCAGTAGTCAATCAACCCATGGGTTCAATCTCTGATCTCCTTCCCCCAAAAACAAACAAAAAAAACAGAAGAGAAAAAAGAACTGCTTCTACTTCAGAAATATCACATATAAATAAGGAAAACAAAGATTAATTCCTTTATCATTAACTTGAAAGATGCTGGGGTTGTGAGTTCATCTATATTCCCACTAAACTCGTCTTCTGTGTAGTCTCTGCAGAATACAAAAAGATATCAGATACTGGAATAGATTATCTTAAACTAAATCAAGTAGTGACTCCAATTTTAGCTTCAGTTAAAAATATGACTTCATTTTTTGAGTAAATTATCACACTCCCTTTTAACTGGTACTAAACTATTAATGTGAAAGATTCATTTTTGCTCAATTTTCTTGTTAATGAAGCCCACTAGAAGCTAGCTTGGATTTAGCTGGTAAATTCAAAAATGTATTTCCACTGTCCTACCTCAGGGTCATATCAACTCCCCAGCCTTATGTCATACTTAATTTTCTAGTGATATTCTGGTTGATGATTGTTATATTCCACAAAATATTACATCGGTGCCTAATGTTGGTTGTACTAAACTGATGAGACCTTGATGATGAGAAGTAGCAACTGCTCTAGATTTACTAGTAAGACATTTGCATGTGAGAGGGTGATATTCCACATCAGTGAACCCTAAATGGTTTTCCACTTCAGTGAGATTTAGAGGTCTAGGTATTTGAAAGGCATTTTGAAATATCCCTTTTTAGGTGAAGAATAAGTTGGTATATTAATGGCTTCTCCCTTCTCCTCCAACCAAGAAAAAGGCACCTGGCCTGGGGGGCAATTTGTGTTTTGGAGACAACGTATTTCTCATTTGTGTGTGTTACTTCAGTCCACGTTCTGAGTGAACCCATAACAGCAGAGGTTCCAAAACTGGCCCAGGCTGTTGTAAAAGCTGCTCTGCAGCTTATGCCATACAATACAATAGATGCAATGATGCTTACTGTCACTGGAAGATAGGGATGCCTTTTGTAGTTTTATGTAGGTTCTTTATTCATGAATTGCAAAGCTTTGTTATTCTCATAAATAACTGCTCTCCTTTCCTAGGGAGAGATTTTGGCCTGCTTTTTGGCTGTAGGAGAAACTGAGCACTTAATCATGGTCAAGAAAATCACCAGGTGACCTGAACTGTCCATAATAAACTGACCTATCTTACCCATAGGTCATAGAGTTTGGTCCACAACATCATCACCAACTTCGACCTCCATCATCAAATGAGTACAATTAGTAGGGCTCAAATAGATCTGGAAGGTACTACTATACAATTAATATGGGAGATATGCTCATTATTGCTATTTCTGCTACATTACCCTCTCCAGCTCAACTTGGACTTTTAGTTTCATGACAAGTTGCCTTTAATTAATTCACAAAGGAAGGAAGACTCAGAAGGTACATGATTCAGGAAGTCATCAGGTTCCTATCTCTGAAGGACAATGGAAAAGAGAAATTATCTAGCACAGAAAATTTCAGTGAGTAAATAATAGACTGAATAAAGATTGTATGCTATTATGATTGTGGGGAATTATTATATAATTCATTTAAAGTTTCAATAGAACAAAAACATAAAGT